TTTAAAAACTAGCCTAGAGTGTCATCTGCCATTTAAAAACTAGCCTAGAGCGTCATCTGCTGTTTAAAAACAAGTCTAGAGCGCCGTCTGCAGTTAAAAACTATCCTAGAGCTCCATCTTCTGTTAAACTATCCTAGAGCGATGTCTCTTGTTAAACTATCCTAGAGGGCCATCTGCTGTTTAAAAACTAGTCTAGAGCACCATCTGCTGTTTAAAAACTAGCCTAGAGCACCATCTGCTGTTGAAAAACTAGCCTAGTGCGCGGTCTCCTGTTAAATAATCCTAGAGCACCATCTGCTGTTAAACTATCCTAGAGCACCATCTGCTGTTAAACTAGAGCGCCATCTGCTGTTAAACTAACCCAGAGCACTGTCTCCTGTTAAACTATCCATGAGTACCATCTGTTGCTAAACTATCCTAGAGCGCCGTCTGCGGTTAAACACTAATCTAGAACTCCATCTGCTGTTCAGAATTGATTCTTTTGTAAATCTCTATTGGTTTTTGGCCACAGCTCTATTGTAAACACTTTCTAGCAAGAATTTTCAGTTGTGTTGATAATTAAGATATTCATATATCCTTATAATGAACCACTCTGAAACAGTCAGGAGGGGATCTTTCAGCAGCTCTTCAGTGAACTTACAGTTTCCGTTCCTGTACAGCAGGAAAGGATCCTGGAGCTGAAACTCCAGGTCTTTATTAATGGGCTCCACCAAGTTTTCTGTACTCAGACGGTTCATAATTGTGAAGCCATGATGTGGTGATGCCGACCTGCAGAAACACACAGACATCCAGACATACCACAACAAGCCACCAGTTACAAGATATGAGGAATATAGAGTTTCATTTACGTCATGGTTTGTTCGGTTTCTTGTATGTGCAGCCATATTGGAGATACTCAGATGTAAACAAGAGCATGGAAGGATTGTAAACAAAATGAATACACCATTCTGCTGATTTATACCATGAAGAAAACACATAGAAGCTGCTCAGTTATATAGAAGAGGAGTTATTCAAGAGAAGAGACTTAGTGGTTAGTCCTCTCTTCTGTCCAGTTAATGCCTCATACCATTACAATTATGTATATTGGAATCAAACTGTCTTAAACGTGTAAAATATCTCTTTCAAACTTCTTCATCTAGATTTAAAAAGCTACAGATGTACGATGTATCTTCAGCAAACAGAAGCCTGAGACTGCACTTCATTTCAAGAGTTCACACTTAGCTGATGATTGATAATAAAGCCTGTTTGGCATGCTGTCCCCTGAGCTTATGAGATCCTTGAGCCCTGGGTTCCCTCCCGTTTGCAGGGCAAGAGGGGAGTGTGAGCTCAGGTAGATCTAGATGAATCTCCCCGGCCGGATATGGATAGCAGAACTTCCAGCAGGATAACGCAGCATGTCATAAAGCTCAATCATCTCAGACTGGTTTCTTGAACATGACGATGAGTTCACTGTACTCAAATGGCCTCCACAGTCACCAGAGCTCAATCCAATAGAGCAGCTTTGGGATGTGGTGGAACGGGAGATTGGCATCATGGATGTGCAGCCGACAAATCTGCAGCAACTGTGTGATGCTATCATGACAATATGGAGCAAAATCTCTGAGGAATATTTCCAGTAGCTTGATGAATCTACAACATGAAGGGGATTGAGGCAGTTCTGAAGGTTAAAGGGGTTCAACCTGGTGCTAGTAAGGTGTACCTCATAAAGGGGCTGATGTGTGTTTTGGATTTGATTTATCGCTAACTGAAAGCGATGCAACTGTTCACTTCAAAAGTCACTTCATTTATTTATTGAAATAAATTAGTTCCAGTAAATGCTCACCTGGCATAAACGAATAATGTGCCTTCAATCTCATTCTTCTCCTAAAGTCAGAAAGAGGTGTTAGTTTCAAAACCGTCTCATATTCCATCATCATCTTATAAATGAATACAAAAACAACATCAAATATTCATTTCAATTAAAATCAATTCTTATTTTTGGTGACTTTACAGTCAGATCTGCGTTCCTCATCACTTGATCTCGACAAACAGCACACTATAACGCAGCTGATGATGCTGACGAGCAGTGGCGTTGCCATTAGCAACTGCGGGCTAAGCTAACCTGCGCGCACACAGTAAACACTGAGTTTCTCACCCATTCGTTGGCTTTGGGGTTGAAGGTGTAAAGCGCGACCTGTCCGGTCACATCCAGCAACTTCACTATGTAGGGATCATGCTGCTGTAGAGCCGCTAAACTCATGAGCTGACCCGCTTTATTCACACACTCCATCTTCTATCAACATACGGAGCGCTTTTCTGGATGAGCACTTCCGGTTCGACTTATGTTATGTCCGCGCATAGTTCCGTCGGATAAAAACAACAAAAGCGAACATCCAGAATAACTTATAAATAAAGTGATTGTTATTACTTCTGGTGCCCTTAGTCTTTTTCCCCTTTATAAAAACTCAGTGTGTTTTACAGTGCACGCTGAAAACTCTGTCATAAACTTACTACTGATTTATTTGAAAACAAGAGGGAACTTTATTATTTCGTAACATGGCTAAACATTATTATGACCATGGAATATTTGTTAAAAACATCTTAGTTTTTCCCCCTCTGCTTGAAAGAAAGAAAATAAGTCATGTCGAGTTGGTTAAATGAAAATTAGCTCATGTCAATAATCAGGTCATGTTTACTCACAGACAGAACCTGTTAGCTTCATTCATTCATTCATTTATTTTCTTGTCGGCTTATTCCCTTTATTAATCCGGGGTCGCCACTGCGGAATGAACCGCCATCTTATACAGCATATGTTTTACACAGCGGATGATCTTCCAGCTGCAAACCATCACTGGGAAACACCCACACTCATACACTACCTTGCTAAAAAATCCAGCTTAAACCAGCCTAGACTGGTTGGCTGGTTTTAGCTGGTCAATCAGGCTGGTTTTAGAGGGGTTTTGGCCACTTCCAGGCTGGTTTCCAGCCATTTCCAGCCTGGTCTTAGCTGGTCAGGCTGGAAAATGACCAGCTAAATCCAGCTTGACCAGCCTAGAAGGCTGGGAGCCCAGCCAAAACCAGCTATGTCCAGCTTAAACCAGGCTTGTTAAGCTGGTTTTAGCTGGACATTTTAGCAGGGATACGGACAATTTAATTGATCAGTTCACCTATAGCGCATGTGTTTGGACTGTGGGGGAAACTGGAGCACCCGGAGGAAACCCACACCAACATGGGGAGAACATGCAAACTCCACACAGAAATGCCAACTGACCCAGCCGAGACTCGAAACAGCGACCTTCCTGCTGTGAGGCGATCTTGCTGCGCCGGCCGTGACACCACCTGTTAGCAATTGTGAAAGTAACTTCAAGCTATTTGCAAAATTAAGACATTTTCATATAACTATAGACTATTCTTACATTTTTGCTGCAATCTCTCGGCAAAACAGACTGATTCTGTGTTGACGTGTCTCTTGTCGTCGAGTACATCAAATAATCAATTTTTACATTACAGAAGCTAGTTTCATAAACGTTTAACAGAGGAAGCCATAGAGATGGAAACAGACATGCTTATTACATTTTATTCACACACAAAACATTAATGATGAACATTTGACATTATAAATGGTTCTCGACCCCTATGGAACAGAAAATAAGACACATTTTCCGTATAGTTTAGTAGCCTATACAACTCTTTTTGCAGAATTTATCATTATTCTGCTTAATCATATTCTGGATTTTGCATCATATATTCCCAAAAAGAATGTAAATACAGGAAATGAGATTCAAATCGAACTGATTTCTCCCATTTAATGTTACTGCAGACAGCCACAGTCATATCACCCTGCCAAGACCGGTTACTCACTGAATCTAAGCAGGGCTGGACTAAACCACATGGGAACACTAGGATGCTGTTGGCAGTGGTGTTGGTGAGGCCAGCAGGGGGCGCTCAACCTGCAGTCTGTGTGAGTCCTAATACCCCAGTATAGTGAAGGGGACTCTATACTGTCAGTGAGCGCCGTCTTTCAGATGAGATGTTAAATTGAAGTCCTGACTTTGTTCGTTAAAAATCCCATGGCACTTTTGGTAAAGAGTAAGGTTGTAACCCTGGTGTCCTGGCCAAATTCCCTCCATCAGCCCTCACCCATCATGGCCTCCCAATCATCCCCATCCACTGAATTGCCTTTATTAATTTCTCTGCACTCCATCCCAGGGGCGCCACTGGCCCTCTTACAAGTAACGGGGTTAGGGGGTCGGGTCATGGGTCCTTGATGATAATGACAACATGTGGGCCCTCAGCATAGTCCTAACTTCCCTCTCCTAGCAGAGCCCCTGCTTCTTCTATAGCTGGTGTGGGGTGAAGCCCTGGCGCTGTTGTCCTTTGGCTGTCGTTGCATCATCCAGGTGGAGCTGCACACTGGTGGTGGTGTGGAGACCCCCTCATGATTGTGAAGCGCTTCGGGTGTATGAACATACATATAGATGCGCTATAAATTATATGAATTATTCCATTATGACGTCGTATTTCCAGCTGAAGCAGAATATTGAGTAGGGGGCGGGGTTTTATTTTTGTGCTCCACCTCTAACCTTTTCCTCACAGCAAACCAGATTGGAGGGGCGTGGCTAAGCATGTTTCGCCCAGTCTGTCAAGCTGACATCATCAGAGATAAACCATGAGGTTTGTCAGGTGATAATTAAAGATTACAAGCAGTTTTTCACAGTGGATGAAGCTGCACAGATTCAGTTTTAGATGGAAAAGAACAACAAATGTGAGCTTGCAAAATAAACATCGCACATTTTGATTTCATGCAGACTTTAACACACAACTAAACAACATTACAGCTTTCATAGCATCAGTGTGTGTGCGTCAGCCCACTAATGACTTCCTAAGGACATTTTCACATTGCTTAAAAACGAAAATTAGCCAAAATGCGACTTTATTCCTTGCGTGTGATGACTGAAGTTGATGACCATGTCAGTATATTTCAGAAAAACTAAAAGTATACAATTAGCAGAACGTGACTATCAAGCTGAAGCATCTTCAAAACTTTAATAGCAATGAATAATCAACAAACACTTTCAGCAATAGCAGCTCATCTGATAATGAATAACCATGAACGTGACCATTAAAAAGACACAAAAACAGATTTCAGCATGATTGTTTTTTTATTGCATATATAAGCATAATATCAGTTTCATTCTCCTGATTGCAGACGGTGTGTGTGTGTGTGTGTGTGTGTGTGTGGAGAGTTCCTCAATCCTAAAACACTGCAGGAGCTGGAGGAAGAGCATTAAATCAGACTACGCACACACATACTAGTTCATCCTACATTATGATGTAGCATCCATTAGGTTGTAAATACACAATATAGGCCTACACAAGAAAATAAATATACAATAAACACAACATAATACACTTTACTACAGCATGAAAACATTATAGCATTCATTATCAATTATTATGGTAATTGTTAGTAATTAAGGTAATCCCGGGGTATCAGAGTTGTCCCCCTCTAAAATATGCCAAAAACCACCCAGCATGTTGTTAATAACTATAAATATGATCAAATAATGTGTATAATGTGTAGAAATGGTCTGAACCTCTTCCTCATGCGAATATGCTGCTTTTTGTTTGCTTTATAAGAACAAAGATGATAGTTGTGGACCATTTTATTTGAATTTCCTCTTTAATAAAGCTGTGTTTTTAACGAGTCCACTTTGTTAGCAATGATAACATCACCTGCTTGATGGATATTCATAATTTAATGCAGCTGCAGTTGTTTGCAGAAGACAGAAACTGGTGCAATTCCTTTAACAGACACAAGGGGGAGACATAAAGCAATATACATGGCCACTCGTTCAAACCCAATTGAAAACAAGTCTATATATATTCAACAGTCTCAAAAAATAAACCAGCAACCAAAAACTTGCATTAGGGTAATCTTTGGAGAGAGAAACGGCCTTAATTTTGATGGATTGTCAGTTTTGATGGTCTCCTCTTTCTCCACTGATCAATGAAAGAGCTCCATTTGATTTGTGAGATGAGACTTATTAAAAATAAATGAATCAATAAATCAAATGCTGAGGTTTTGGAAAGACACTCAACGCCCTACACTTAAACTATGAGTGGACTTCATGATTGAGAATGTGTCATGTGCGTTTAATGAGTATTTTTTTTCTAATTTTATTAACAATTTTGTACAGAATTTGTGTGCATTTGTATGTTATATTAAGAGAAAACCAATTGAAAAATCATTAAAAAAAGAGAAATAAATTAATATGACCCCCCGCTGGGTCAGCTAATAAGTTATTTCACCAACATTCTGTGGCCTTTGCATACTAGCTAGCTTGATTTAGGTTAGTTATGTGCATTTAGGCGTTACATTAGAAGTGTTTGCCATGAAAGTGGAATAAAGGACAAGCTCGACTTCAAGGACACTTACTTTAAACTTCAATGAAACTTAAAGGGCTTACCTGCATTTTAAACCATCAGACCAGATTTGTTCTGTTGGATTTCACTTCTGAATGAAGCACGGCGGCTCAGTGGTTAGCACTGTGGCCTCACAGCAAGAAGGTCGCTGGTTCGAGTCCTAGCTGGGCTAGTTGGCATTTCTTGCGTCAGTTGGTGAGGTGCTCCAGGTTCCTCCCCCCCGTGCAAACACATGCAATGTGGGGGAACTGATGAACTAAATTGGCTGTAGTGTGTGTGTGGATGAGTGTGTGTGTGTGTTTCCTAGTACTGGGTTGCAGCTGGAACATAAAATATATGCTGGAATAGTTAATGGTTCATTCCATTGTGGCGACCCCTGATAAATGAAGGGACAAAGCTGAAGGAAAATGAATGACTGAATACTGCAACTAGTGCTGGCCACAGGACTAAAGCAAATCCTCCATGTTCTTGTTAGTAATTCAGTTTTATTTTTCATTAATGCTCTCCTGTTACTCTTAATAAATAACAAACAGCATTAGTGCAGGGTTTCTGCAGGTTTCACCAAATTAAATTTAAGATTTAAGACAATTACAAATGAATATTCAGACTTTTACTAGGCAAAATGTGAAGGATTGCTTGTGATGGCCAGTTATTCGCCTCATTGAAATTAAAATTCTGTTTTTTCTCTGCCACATATTGTAAAAAATGTATCAGAAGAGTTATATATAGATTTATTACCATAAACTTTCTTTAAAAAATGTTTAAGTTAAAACTAAAATTAAGTTCTAAAAACTATAATAAACTAAATGTATTCACAGCAAAACAGTATGCAGAAATACACGAAGAACTGTTAAACTAATGTTATTAACAGGATGTAAGCAAGATAATTAAACCATGTTGGTCAATAGAATTAATCAATTTATATTTCTGATAGCCTTGACAAAGAAAAATTAAGACCTTTTCAAATGTATTGAAGACATATAACACCATATTTTAGTACATTTTTAAGGTTTAAACTTTAGTTTTTGACATTTTAACCAGTTAAACTCTGCTGCTATTTGGGGATTTCCGCCTGGATTTTGCCTACCCAAATTTAAAAGCTTCCCAAATCCACATGCAGAGGTGTAAATGCAAAAATTTGGTATCATTTTAAAGAAAACCCTTTGAATTTTCATAAAACACTATTGAAAGTGTTTAAAATACCTGTATATGTTGTCTGTGTTATAATAAACACCTAAAAGAGGCGCTTTTCGTATTATTTTTTTATAAAGTCAAATTTGAAAGTGCACCTTTTAGGTTGTGTGTGGTCTCGCGTGCTGTAATTAATGTTGGTGGTTCCTGCACATGTCTGTAATCATAGGAAAAAAGAAAAATGTCTCCACCATAATCTATGCAAAAGTTATTGTATTTCAACTGATGAGAGGTGCTGTACAAGCCACAGGGAGCGATCACTGCTTTCATATTTCACTATTCTTTAGTTTGATCAAACATAATTCACTGTGGTTGGAGCACGTCAGACATATAAAAGGATTACTTATGCACATCAGCTCAACAACAAGGAGAATGGCCCTGAAGCGCACAGCATAAGGTAAGAGATGACAGCTGTCTGTGCTATCTGGGGCTGCTTATTGATCATAAATGTATTGTTTTCTCTTCTGCGCCATGGAAACACCACGATTCATTCAGCAACTGTTTGATATGTGAATATAATTCAGTATAAAGAATGCTAGAACAGTATGAGCACCGGCAAGAGCTTTCATTTGAGCTAGAACTTGTACATGTGTCATATGAAAAATATGAAAATGAACCAATGTTCAATACCCAGCTCGGGGATCCAAAATACTGTGTATTTAAGTGTAAATAACTTTTGTACAGTAAAATAAAAACCAAAGTGATGCATATGTGCATAAAATATAGATTCTACACTTTCAAACGACACCACTTACGGGGGTCTGGTGCAATGCTAGCCCTTTAAATCTGAAAGCGAAAGTCAATAACGTTACAGACCCGGTACCGGGTCCGCAGAGTTTAACTGGTTAAGACCCCGCAGACACACTGTAGTGAAACCAGAATGAAAATAAACATGATGAAAGTCCCACAATCTTAAATCAAGAATGAGTCGAGACACAAGACAAACGCTGAGTGACTTTTATTTTGTTTTTACTGACTTTAACCAGCATGACTCCCCCTACACAGACAGGTAAACCTCTAGAAAACAATACTCGGGTTAGTTCAAGTGTAAAAGGTCTAATTCTTTCAAAAACTAAACATTTTTGTCCTTTTCAAGTCGAGTCTTTGGAGTTCTGAGTTTGTTTTCAGTTCTGTGTACAAGTCTCATAGCTGACGGAAACATGCATATGACGGAGTAATGCACATTAGAAAGTTCAGTTCCACGTTTCAAATTAATACAAACAAATGCGTGTCATCGTTTCATATAAAGGTATCAAACGTATAGATCCTTAGAGATCAATACTGGAACACAATAATAATATTAATAGTAATAATAATAAGAGTGTCCGATAATAAGCTTCCACAGCTAGTTGAATAATCACAACGCCATCACTTCCAGCAAACAGAAAACCTCATTTACCATCTCAACTCCAGGTTGTAATTGCACTTAATTTTGTTTTCTTCCTCTCTTGCCGAACACATTTAATAATTTTTTCGCCTCAACAAACACAATGCGGCGTTCATGCCAGCATCGGCTTGTTGATGCAGCACGTTTTCTGTTTCCTGAAGTTGTAATGCTCATATAACCATGTAGAAAATAAAAAAAGAAAACAAAACCATTAACAAAAAAAGACACGAGCTTCCTCACAACACGATCAATATCACACCAGCTCTTCTACACCGCTAAAATAACACAAAAAACACACACCGGGTTCGTGTCTCCGTTCATTTTCATGATCAATTCTAGCTTCAAAACCATTCTGGCGAAAAAAATAACGTGTTCTAAAACCCCTGAATTTGCTATTAGGATCACTGACCTGACGAATTCGGCACAATGGGATTTATTTCTCTAATGATTCGCACCCTTGAAAACAGAATGAATGTCTTCTGTACTTATTGCTGCTGCTAAGTCGGAAACATCATCCGCTGTTCATCCTTAAGGAGTGAGAAACAGAAAAAAAATGCTAAAACTAAACGCTAAACTAAGGATTCATTCTCTCGTTATCAGAAGAACAACAAAAAAAAGGCACTATAATGGTCAGAATGAAGATCACAAACGAAAAACGAACCCGAATGGAGGGTCGGAAAAGCAGGGCGAACCCTCGAACGAAGCGTTTCTGATTCGTGAACCAACCGAACGTTTGTACCGACACTTGGCACGATAGAGAGAGAGAATGACGGCATTCCAATTTGGAATTAATTATTTTTTCTTGCACAGAATGCAGGAGGTCAGTGATCCGCGTAAAGCTTGAGCGAAGGTGCTTGAAATGGAGAAAAGAAAAACGGCAAACACTTACAATACACTAGAGTTCGGTAACATGTCGCGAACGTCGATAATTCGTTACATTAACCTAGTGTTTATTTGAACAACGTTAAAAATGTGCTTGGTAATGCGCCGTTCACACGGGGCGTCAACATTAACGCTTCTTATTTACTTTTAATGGAGTGACGACAAGCATTGCTGAACTGAATCATGGGTAAGTTGATTTGTGTTGGGTCCATTGATTATAGAAGCTGGATTTTTTAAGCACCAACACATGCGTCAGCCAATCAGATCAATTTATGCAAATAAAATAGTGAGGATGGTAGTCAATCAAGTTTTCGCAAGACCAGAGAACAGTTATTAGTCAAAAAAATGGAGGAAAATCGTACTATGGCGATCACGTCAACGTAAAATGTCTAAGTTTAAATCTTCTTAATCGTTAACATGCATAAGCCAAGCAGATCACTGTATGCAAATATAATAGTGAAGATGCTAGCCAATCAAGTTCATGCAACACTGCAGAATAGCAGTACTTTAACAAAAATGGAGTAATAGCATACTCTGACGATCAAGTCAACGAAAAATGTCAGAAGTTAATAACATTAAGCGCTAACATGTGCTAGCCAATCAGATCGCTATATTCAAATATAATAGTGAAGACGCTATCCAATAAAGTTCGCGAAACACCAGAGAATAGTCGTACGTCAAAAAAAATGTACTATGACAATCACATCAATGCAAAATGTCAGTAGTTGAAAATTTTTAAATACTAACATACATCAGCCAATCAGGTGGATATACGTGAACCTGACTGATGTTATTATGGTGATCACGACAATGCAAAACATCAGAAATTGAATTTTTAAGCGCTAATATGCGTCAGCCAATCAGATGGCTTTATTCAAATATAATAGTGCTCATGCTAGCCAATCAAGTTCGCTAATCAACACTAGAAAATGGCAGTACATCAAAAAAGATGGGAGGAATAGTGTATTATCAAGACTGGTAAATATAAATAATCCACTTTTGAACATAACTACTACTATGTTTTTGTGTTCCATTTTTTTTGACGCAACTGAAGCTGGATGTGATTGGCTGTTGTTACCATGACAATCAATTCAATGTAAAATGTCAGACACACAGTTCAAGCGTTAACGCAGACGCCCCGTGTGAATGAGACGTAACACTTTGCAGTGGTCACACCAAATTCGAAATTGCTCTAAATTACTCAAAGGATGTTTTTCGACTCTAATTTTTTCATCTTGCATGGAAGATGCAATTGCACGAATACCGCAAACGCATCGCACATTACACATTATCTAACTACTCTACCTAATAATATTCACATAATGTAATTTGGGCAAATTCTTAAATTCGCATTCGGTGTGAACCCAGCATTAAAATAGTTTCATTTATTAACATTCGACAACTAACGATGAGCAGTAGTTCTACAGTATTAATCTAGGTTCGACATTTACTAATATTTTCTTACTCGCGTGTTTTTATACACATTAAAGCAACTATCATAAACAATTCAGGACTGTATTTTTGCTAACAGATAATTAAACACTGTAATATTTTGCTCCTTGTTAGTTCATGTTAGCTAACGCATTAAGTCATGTTAACAAATGAAACCTTAATGTAGAAAAGTCACAATACTAATATACTTGTATATAAAAGAAATAAACCTAGATTCATAAATGCTGATATTTGAACCTTAGTGTAAGGTGTTAAAAATCTATTCAGTGTTAAATACGTTTATTAATTTGCTGGTTTTTACGTCTGATTATTTTTATTCGGTTAACTTTTAGTATTACATAGACAAAATGATGATAATAAATAGACAATAGCTCAGCGTCTGAGCGCCGGCGATGGCAGTAAAGCGAACGTAAAAACATGTCAGTAGAACACACGAATACCACGTACGAATCGTTTCATAAAGATGACGAGTAGATCATGAATTGCGCGAGTTATAATAACGTGATCAACGTAAAGAATACTATTCAATACTATTAGTGTAAAATACGTGAAGTGACTCACAAACCAGAACACCTCTAATAATCGTAATATAAAGCAGTTTAACCTTATATTAAAATAGGAATGATTACAAAAACAATCAAAATGTGAATGAATATTTAGACAAAAAAAAAAACATTGACCCATTTTTTTTCTACGAGCTCAGGTTTTCAGGACTTTGTGACCCAATGGCTTCCCATGTGCGCATAAAACCCTAAATATCCTCATTATACAAGCAAATATATATATATATATATAAATAAAACAAATGTTTGCATTTCCGATGATTACAAGTAAAGGCAATCCAGTGTCTCTTGTAATCCAAAAAACTTAAGTCTGGATTTGTGGAGAAATTTGTCGAGTTCCCAGATCAGATTCAGACCGAATGTAACTGTAAATTAAAAATAGAGATAAAAGTCGTTAGTTAAGCTGCACAATATATATAGATTTTAAAAATTGTTTTCGAGAGAACAGCATATGCAACATTCGTATCGCAGAGAGATGTAATAAATTACAATTCAAGCATGCGTATTGTATTGATTGCAAATTTGACCAATCAGATGGGGCTGTACTATATTTAGCCCCACCTCCATAAGAGGTGCTGCTCTGTTATTGGCTAGAACAATTCAAAGGTGAATCTAGAGCTAAAAATAAACACGAATAGTGAGAGTTGAGATGAAATGACAATAAGGCTCAGTCATTAAGTGTCAGATGTTTGCGTTTTGACATAATTTTTTTATAAATATATTAGATCAGAAATATAGCTATCATTTGTTTATTTTAGTATGATAATTGATAGTGTTAATAAACGATAATAAATAATTTAGCTAATAGGGAAATGTTTTATTGCAAGAAATATCGTAATCGCAATACTAATGTTGCATATGTTTGCAGTATTGTGCAGTCGTAGCTTTTAGCATGTCGGCTAAATGACATTTCATTAGGATTCAGTCAGAAAAACAGCAGAACAGAGAAGCCAGAGGTCCACAAGAGCCCAAATAGCAGAATGACCATCACCACAAGCACAACACCCTGCAGAAGCTGATTATTATGCTTTCATGTGTCCTGCATTAGAGATGTAATGGATTAAGGCAAGACACTACAGATGAAGAGGCTAAAAAATGAACACACACACACCCCACCATCCTGCTACAATAACTTTGGTTTAAGTAATTAGATTATGGACAGGGTTTTGGCGTATGATTTTAGAACACAAAACTGCTAAGTTTAATGTTTGTCATTTAAAAAAATGAGAATAACAGATGAAATAAAAGTGACGTACATCATTAGAATACATTTAAAAAGTTTGGTGTGTGGGGTCAGAATATATAGAGATAAAACTGTCGTATTTGGTGTGCGCCATCAGAATATAGACAGAATGAAACTGCAAAATTTGGTGCGTTTATTTCTGTCTATAATGTGATCACACACACACACCGAATACGGCAGCTTAATCTTTACATATTCTGATTAAACACCAAATTTGACACTTTTATTCAGAATATATAGAGATAAAAACTGCAAAATTGTGTTTATTTTTGTCTTTATTCTTATAACAAACCATATTTGACCATTTTTATCTCTATATATTCTGATTAAACTGACAAAATTTTACAGTTTTAATCAGAATATATAGAGATAACACTATCTTATTTGGTGCGTTTAATCAGACTATATAGACAAAAACGGTCAAATTTGATGTTTCATCAAAATATATAGAAATAAAACTGTAAAATTTGGTGTTTATTCAGAATATATAAAACTGTAAAATTTTGTGTTTAATCAAAATATATAGAGATAAAACTGTAAAATTTGGTGTTTAATCAGAATATATAAAGATAAAACTGTAAAATTTGGTGTTTAATCAGAATATCTAAAAATAAAACAGGTAAATTTGGTGTTTAATCAGAATATATAAAAATAAAACAGGTAAATTTGGTGTTTAATCAGAATATATAGAGATAAAATGGTCAAATTCTGTGTTTAATCAGAATATATAGACATAAAACAGTCAAATTCTGTGTTTGATCAGAATTATAGACAGAAATAAAACTAAAGTTTGTCGTGTTTATTCAGAATATATATAGATAAAACTGTCAAATTTGGTGCGTGTAAAAAGGTATTGTTTGGTATATATAACCGAAATACAGATATTATCACAACTACCAAGCCTGATGCATCTAAATGTTTAAGCGACATTTTTTGGACTAAATGACTATAAAAATATGTGATGGAATTGAAATCTTCAATGTATATGTGACAAAAACAAGACTTACATGAGCTTTTTGGGTTTATTTTTTTGCAATTCATTTAAAAAGTTCAGACCAAACATTTCCTATAGTGTCTTGCCTTAATGAATGACTGACTCAAGACGGAAAAACATTAAAATCTGGACAAAATTTGGTTTATAATGATCAGACGTTTGTCACTTTCTCTTTGACCAATCTAAAGAAACAAAATGAATGACGATAATAAGCCGAGACACGATGAGAATGCAAGAGTTACATTATTAACACTGCTATCATAATCAAAGATCCTGATATAAGTCGCTGTATTTTTAGTTTACAAATACAGTGATCTCAAGCCGTTGGTTAGCTCATTTGCAGCAATTTGAGAATCACTAAATGAATATAGATTATGAATTTTATATTGAGAATGTCTGAATAACTCTGGTTATGATGTACACGAAAGACTGAATATGCTTGATATTGTGATACGAGTTATTTTCACACATTATTAAAAGCAGATCCCCAATGCAAAGGTAGAACATGATGCAAAATATGACCTCTGATTGTATATAAATGTGTTATTTAAGCCAGAGGTTTAAGTTGCGGTCGTATTTACCAATGCATGACAGCTTCATGAGCCAAATCTAGCGTTTATATGAACAGATTTCACTCACGTTCTGGATATTTGCGCAAGTTATGATCAACAGGAAGCGACTGAGCTTCCATCTTTATTATCAATGTCAGACGATGCGTGCTAAATTTCGATAGCATTTAGCAAGAAGCTTTAAATCATAGATGGTTTGTCTTTCTCTCATGTTTTATATACCCTTAAAAAAAATTTGATTTACTAAATTTTTTTAATAAGGTAAGTGGTTGCAAACAATTTGTATGGGCTGAATTTAAACAAACAAATTAAGTAATTCAGCGCTTACGAATTGTTCGCAACCACTTACTTTAAATTTAGCAAATCCAAACAAACCATTTTTCTTCAGTGTAATCCTGAAAATGAGACCGCCACACTATTTATGAGCAGAAACAACAGATAAGGCCTCTCTAATGTTTCATCTGCAATATAAATCATAACTTCACGACGACCACAAGACAAGCCCTTCACCAGTAAAGCCGTGTGTCGAGTGTGCTCAAGTAAACGCAAGTCTAAAACGTATTAAAGCTTTCAGAAAGAGTTCTGCAGCGCAACCCAAAACAACAAAAGAGCAAGCCTGAAGCCCATTGGCTGATTAATGAACACGCGTCGCTCCCGCCTGCCTCGCCAGTGTAAAACACACACACTCTATAACCAGCCCGCTGCTTTATATTCGACATCACACCGTGTCCTAACACACGATTACGGCAACACAGCATGTTGGCTTTTAAATATTTAAACAGCAGAGCCAATCAGATGCGCAGAATATGGACGGGTTTATTACAAGTGCATACCGAGTGGATGATGTTTACGTTTACATTTATTATTAATATAACATGTTATTAAATTTGCTACACAATTCTGTGGACGTCTTAATTCTGATTGGACAATCATGACTTTCCAAGGTGTAATAATACTACTTATCCAGCTTCTATCAATCATCGTGACTATATATATATATATATATATATATATATATATATATATATATATATATATATATATATATATATATATATATATATATATATCCAGTTAGTTGTTATATACTGTGAACTATTCGCCCTCCTATTAAATTTTAATTATTTATATTTCCCCTTAAGTTCTATTTAATGGAGAGATTTGTCAACACATTTCTAATCATAAGAGTTAATAACTCATTTCTAACTGATTTCTTTTCTCTTTGCCATGATGACAGCACATATTATAAGACTAGATATTCTTCAAGACACTTCTATACAGCTTAAAGTGACATTTAAAGGCTTCGCTAGCTTAATAAGGTTAAGATCGGGGAATTAGGCAAGCCATTGTATAACAGTGGTTTGTTCTGGAGACAATCCAACACTAATATTGCTGAAGGGGCGAATAATATTGACCTTAAAATGGCTTTAAAAATAATAAAAACTGATTTTATTCTAGTCGAAATAAAACAAATAAGACTTTCTCCAGAAGAACAAATATTATAGGAAATACTGTGAACAACTCCTGAATCTGTGCAACATCATTTGGGAAATATTTGAAAGGAAAATAAATTCACAGGAGGGCGAATAATTGATTTCAATTGTATATATAAACCGTTCTAGCTCTTTTCTGTGATAACAACCGGCTGGATCAACATTATCCCTTACTTTACGTACATAATCAGTACCAGAAGTCATCGTTATCATAGTAGCTTATGCTTTAATTTCAGCTGCGATGTCAAATTAGTTTCTAAAACTGACTCTGTGCATTGAGATTGACACAAAAGCGGAAAAGACACCTCTTATCGCATGTTACAGCATTACGTCATGTATCGTTAGGACACGGTGCTCGATTACAACAAAAATGGCACAATTTAACGACTTTTCCTGCATGTCAACAAGGCAGGAGGAGGTTTGCATATGCGGTTTACTTGGGCCTGTAAACCTGATTACCTGATCGGACGGGCTGCTGATTTCAGAGGCAGGAGAGAGAGATGGACAGAAGAGAAACCGCACAACTCGAGCCTACAGACCTTATTCTTCACATATGAGCTGGCACTGCAGTTGAATCGAAACGTCAGCTGATATTCACTTCCCTTGATTTCTAGACATTAACACAGCTTGTTCTGCTGCTTGATGTCTCAAACTGATATTGTTTGATTATATTAATCAGCTTTTTTTGCGATACTCAAACACACTTGTTTGTTGAGCGAGCAGTTTGACCGTTTATTATTCCTAGTCATTTCTCCAATAGGAAACTGAATGGAAAGTTTGCGCACTTCAGCATTGCAGAATAAGGTCAGTAGCTGGCTCTCTTTAGCATGTCGAAAATAGAAATTGTGCAATTCGAGTGCGGAAACACAACCCTATGAGACTACATGTACACCATTCTGCCTTCGGCTAGCGCTAAAAACATGCACCTGGCTACGAGCACGCTAACACATGGACACATCATATGGGTTAGCATAGAGCAAGCAGGTTTGCACGAGCGGAGCTTTGTACACCGGTTCAGTCGCAGTAGATCTTGTATTTCTCGCTGCAGAAAACCACTGGCGCCACTGTGTGGCCGTTGCTGTCACTGCGACTTACGTGCGTTTGGCTGGATTTGATGCGCGGCGCGGTGTTTCTGGTGCGCCCGTTGGCTCCAGGCCGGCGTATTTGCTCGTGATCAAACTCCAGATCCTCCAGGCGCTGCGTGAGCGCTAGCTTCTGCTGGATGGCCATCCGTAGCAGAGAGTTAAGCGTCTTCTTCTCGTCCTCCGCTGCTGCTAGCTGTCTCTGCATCTCGTCCAGTTGAGTCACGTATTCGTCACAACTAACAGACACAGAAGAAAAAAAACTCAGCCTCCTTTTATAATTAAAAAGAAGGTCTGCATTATATTTTATTTACAGCAGTGCACTTTTATAAGTGTGTGAATATATGCAGCTTCTAATGATAAACATGAATTAATTGTATTGTTTATCATAAGACTTGATCAAATCAGTCTGCAGAAACACTTTGATTGACATTCTCCTTTTGTATGTGTTGTCAGAAGGGGAAAGCCCCGCCCACTAGTGCACATCTCTCCCTCATTAGCATACGACGTTAGTCTTGTTTTTGAATCTGCCACTATGCTGACACACAGGCATTTGTGGCTCCGCCCTCTTCTGCACAATCTCATTTTAATTTAAAGCGACAGTCACCCAAAACACCCCAACCAGAATCAAAGCCTAAAAGGGTCAGTTTCAGAGAGCTGGAGAACATCATCTGTGTGCTATTTTGATCTGAAACACACACTCTAGAAGTAGAGACGCACTTTACATCCTGTAAAAAAGAGCAGAATACATGCCCTTATTAAGGTCCTCTTGTTACGCAAAGGTTTTGATATATATATTAAAAAAATTTGACAGGAGAATGTCCACAGCTGTAAGTGAACTCCCAGGAAACCTATTTAATTGATTTAAATTAATAAATATTAATTTATTGTGAACCACTTTAAATCATCATATGAGCCATAATCCTTAATAAATGCATCAATTCTGGCATATGCTCACTTATAGGAAGGTTTCTGCACACATTTTATAAATGTGACCCCTCTTAATTTACAGGGTTCTTACACCTTTTCCATGCTCAGATTTAAGCACTTTACAGCACTTTAAATCTGTGGTAAATTACATGCACTGCTCAGCATAATTGAGTACATCTCATATTGAAGTTGAATATTTTGATGCATTTTTTAGTGAATATAGGCACTTTTTTGGTGCATTTAAACAAAACAGATTTATAAAACAGATTTGTTTAATAAAATAATATTTAGGTCACTAAACATATTTAGAAATCAATAGATAATACAATTAAATTCAAGCACAATATTGCAAAAAAAAAAAAAAACTAACAAAAAAAACAAATTTTTTTTCTTGTTTTTCTTGATTTTTCCTCTTTTTTTATTTTCAATTTCTATAAGATACATTTGGCTGCACTAGTTTTGGGAGCATTATCAAAGGTTATTCTAATAGATGAGCTCCAGATTTGGCTTCAGCACTGACTAATCTAATGTATATGCACAAATATAGTATTGTAGATTTATGACGGGCTGAACTTATCTATGCTGAGCACTGTATTTACAATCATAAAAGTACTTCTTTATCACTTTATATCAGATGCTATTTCCTATATAATTGTATACTTCACTGCACTCTCAGAAATAAAGGTACAAGAGCTGTCACTGGGGTGGTACCTTTTTGAAAGGTCTATATTTGTACATCGAGGGTCCTTAATAATACCTCAAGAGTACATATTAATACCTAAGAAGTACAAAAGAGTAACTCTTAAAAATGTGTAGAAACTAATTTATACCTTTGAGGCACCAATATATACCCTTTATGTACAAATATAAACCTTTCGACAAGGTACCACCCCAGTGACAGCTCTTGTACCTATATTTCTCAGTGTATAGATGGACAGACTATACTCAGGATGATAGTTGTTGCAGTGTTTGCCCCAAGCCCTTTATCAACACTGAAAATCTCTAAATGCTGTTTACTTAAACTGAGCCAGTGAATGCCAAATGTTGAATCTAGAAAATGACATTAATTTAAATTATTAAATTAATTTATTTGAACATTTCCATATTGTTTTTAGAGGAAACTGTATAGTACAAATAGCAACAACATTGCATTTTCAAGCCATTTTTTTTTAATCTAAGCAGTTTTTAAACCTTGAAAATCGAATAAAATGCTAGTATTTGTTAAGGATTTCTAGCATCTGTATGAACCCTGAATTTAGGAAATAAATAAAGCACATAGCATTAACAATTAAGATAAATGCTAAAATAAAATGACGAACTTATATACTTTAACAGAATTAATAATAAAAACAGTGTGACCAATGACAACTAAAGTGAAATGGTTCAATTTATATGGTTTGAGTTGAATAATAAAAAAATAATTAAACATTAATGAACACTCACATTTTAGAAGCTTTCCCTCCGACAAAACCACAGCTAAAATAATTAAAAATGTGCACTAATTGAGCAATGATTTAATTAATTCTACAATGATTAATTCTCTCCCAATGGATTTATTATATTAATTTTCATATATTGCAGAAAAACTAAACTCTGCAGTGTCAGATGAAAATAAAAATGAGCACGATTCATGCTGAAATGTCTTTAGCAACCAAAACTCTGCACCTACTTGTATTACATGCAATTGCTTATATTCTTAAAATCTCCATTTGTGTTCCTGAGAATACAGTCTGGGACAGCCGGAGGGTAAACAAATGTTTTAGGGTGGAGAATCCACACCCGGTTTTCTTTCTTCCTTCATTCGTTCGTTAATAATAATAATAATAAAAGCCCTCAGTGCTGTTTGAGCAGATCTCCATGTTCACGAGTGATAAATAATAATCATTAAAGTATTCCAGCATGCTACAACAGACAGAGTAATTAAAGTGAGTCACACCTTGATTAAACTGTGGTAAAACTGAACATCTGAAAGCACAGAGCATGCTAGCACACGCCAAACACCACCCTGTATTTAAGAATCACTGCAAAACAAACAGTGAGAAGTTTACGATCCCCACTAAACACACAACCGATCATCTCCGAAAGGCTGTGATTCAGGAGTACATCACAGATGACCAGGCGTGAGAGTTTTGCAGAGGTCCACGTTACAACAATCTGTGTGAACTGGAAAATGCATTTAGAAGCGTGCGTGCACACATACATGGAAGCAAAATGGCAATGCTATGCAAATCACATTTACATTTTCCAAGACACACGTGCACAGTTTACTAAAAATTGAATGATTTAAATGAAAATTTTTTATGAAAATTAAATGATTTAATTCATATTTGTCTTTTCAAATCACATTTTTAATATGTGCATTACATCCTAATTGTAATGCTTTTGATTTTCAAAATTAAATTGAAAATGTAAGGCTTTAATGTAATATTTGACTCAATGTGAAAGCAAAAATGGTCACAATATGACTGTCTAAATATATTATTTAATTTTCTTTTTGTCATGGAGAAAGCAAATGTAAGTATAAAAATAAATTGCCATTTTAAATACTGCATATTACATTTTAAAATTAATTTTTGCTACTGATCAGCTTCCATAGCATGGAAGCATATCAGTGGCTAAATTAATATTGAAATGTAATATGTAAAACTTTAATGTATTTCTATGTTTAAATTAGCATTTGATATAACACTTTTTTTGAAGGTCCATTTGAGTATTAGTAGACTGTCTTTTTATATCTGCTGATACTGCTCCTTCAACAGACATTTAACTGACTATAAGAAACTTTACAAATACGTGTCAACTTACACTAACCCGAACCCCTGCCTGACAGTCTACTTATAATCTAATGAGAATTAGTTGGCTGGCCTGTAGATGCAATGCAACTTAAAGCCAACAAAATGTGTTAAAGGAACCACCAAAATAAAGTGATACCACATTTAAAAAACAAATAAGTAAAAAAATGTAACTATATCATTTACATTTGCCATTTACAACTTACAGTTTTAATTGTAATGCTTTATAAGTTGCGAAATTAAATTTAAAATGTATTACCCAATTTGACAAAAATGGTAGCAAAATGAGTGTTTAAATATATAATGAAATTTTTATTTTGCACCATCATGGATAATGAAACTGTAAATATTGAAACGCATTGCACAATTTACATAATGCATTGCAAATTTGCATATTGCATTTTAAAATTAATTAGCTACTGATATGCTTTCATATTCTAGTAGTAGAGTCAGTCTTACAAGAGAAGATAAACAAATAAATGACAGTTCCTTTGTTTTTGTTTTTATTAACTAGTAACTAATAGCATTTAATAGTTAAAGTTATGTATAATAAATAACTGTTAGGAGCTATTAGTTACTAGTTAAAGTAATAGTAACTAATAAAGTTATAGTAACTAATAAGCTTCACATCTCTGATTTTGACTGTAATGCAGTTATGTGCATCTTCTGTAAAGCTACTTTGAAACAATAATAATTGTGAAATCACTATACAAATGAACTTGAACTAAATTAAATATCGATCCAATTCAGTCAAAATAACTTAATAAATTAAGTTCAAAACAGAATCAAATCATGAAGAGTTGCAGTAATCAGGGCCTCACGTGTCCTGTGTGCATCAATGCTTGCGTAGAGTTTCTCACTTTCTCTCTGCATGACCTCTGACCTCTGAAGCTGAAGGCCTTAGTGTGAACAAATGAACCGGCACGTCTGAGATTAAGCTTTGAGGGGGAAAAAGACACGGCGCGCACAATAGAATCAGTGCAGCTTCATTAGCGAACGGCCCCTGGGAAACATCGCTCTCAATGCGGAGGGCAAAGTTCTGCTGGAGAACCATCTGCGGCTCGATGAGTGAGTGAGTGTGTGTGTGTGTGAGTGTGTGTGTGTGTGTGTGTGTGTGTGTGTGTGTGTGTGTGTGTGTGTACGTGTGTGTGTACTTGCGTGCGTGTGAAGTAGGTGTTATTGTGAAATACAGCTCGACATGCATTCACTTTAGCTGCTTCTCAGAAAACCTGTAATGATTAGAGCTATGATGAAGATTCTGAAGAGCAAACAACACTCTAGGCTAGTTTTTAACAGCAGATGACGCTCTAGGCTAGTTTTTAACAGTAAATGATGCTCTAGGCTAGTTTTTAAAGAGCAGATGGTGCTCTAGGCTAGTTTTTAAACAGCAGATGGTGCTCTAGCCTATTTTTTTAAACAGCAGATGGCGCTCTAGGCTAGTTTTTAAAGAGCAGATGGCGCTCTAGGCTAGTTTTTAAGCAGCAAATGACGCTCTAAGCTAGTTTTTAAACAGCAGA